TTGATAACAACTTGGGCTATCCTTGTCCTCTCTGGTCCGGATGACATGGCGTCCCAGTGTTCCATAAAGAACTTCAAATCGTGACTCATCTGACCACAGAACAGTCTTCCATTTTGCCACACTCCATTTTAAATGACCCCTGGCCCAGTGCAAACGTCTGAGCTTGTGGAGCTTCACAAAACAAGAAACTGTCCAGATGACCTGACTGAAAAATGTTGGATTGTATACCTGGATTATTGAACATGGACTTTGTTGTTTTCAACCAGTTTGACACGACTGTCAACAAGGAAGAGGGCTGGCAATGGAGGAGGAGCGTACCAAAGAGACCATCTTATCACAAGCAAAACTGGTTTGTTCCACTGTGGAGTAAGCTGTAGGAGGAAGAAACAGTTTTGTTGTGTGTTTCCTTGACGGATGAAGCCTTCTGGATCGAAGGCGAAACGTTTCAACACAAAAAAAGAAACTGTCCAGATGACCTGACTGAAAAATGTTGAATTATTTGTTGGCTCGACATTATAGCAAAGGTGTGTCTCATTTGAACTTTTACTTAAAAAAATGCACTTTAATGGTCAAATTAGCTTCATTTTGCTGGGGCAGCGCAGCAATGTGAAGCTGATTTGATGGTTGCTCCAGACGAGTTGAACGAATGTGGCAGGACATGGCAAGCCAATTGTGTCATTAATAGCTGGTGAAGATTCTCAGTCATACAGGACATGGTAAATTCAAAAAAGTTAAAGAGAAAAATAATAAAGTATAATAAAAAAAGTACAGTTCTTTTTCTTTTGAACTTTTTTGAATTTGTCATTATAGCCACGTTTACCTTTTACATGAAACAACAGCATGCCCTACTACTCTGCCGCCATCTAGTGGTTAGAAAATGGTAATGTTCAATGTTTTTAGTCAGAGTGAATGAAAACTGTCATATCTCAGCCCAAAAAAGGTTTATAAATATGGGGAAAAGTCCATAAATACATTGCTTTGGCCTATAAGGCGCAGGTAGGGATGCACAATATTATCGGCATGGTATCGACCGATATTAGCGATAAAGTTAAATATCGG